AGATGAGCGCTCCTCTCACGGTGAGTTAATGCCGGATTAGATTCGGAGATTTCAAGGAAATTCCAAGTGGAACGAATCGTGTTTCCCTTCTGCACGCTGCAGAGCTGGGCCGGAGCAAGGCGCCAGGCTTTGGCGGCATCCAGCGGGGTGCCCAGCTCGGGTCCCCACGGTCGGCAGGTCAGGGAGTTGCTCCCGGACTGGAAGCTTACCCCAAGCCAGGTTCTCTTCAGACAGCCCAGGATCCTGCTTACCCAGCCGTGAGTCCCCTATTTAACAAAGGCAGCATAGACCCGGCTGGAGAGAAGGCAAGCTTCCCCCGCGAATATGTCGGTTTCTGCCCCGGAGGGCCGAGTGGCCTGGTAAGCAGGGAAATGCTGATCTAAGCCGCTGGGGCTGGTTGCGGGCAGGTCAGTTTCTCTTTGTGTCAATTTTCCGAATGCAAGGTAATCCACCAAAGCAGTGGGGAGATTTGCCCAGAGAAGCCGCTTGCACCGGTCCTACCCCAAACGATTCCTCACCATTTGGGGCCTGTGCCAAAACGGTTTCCAGTCCATGGTGACCCCAGCGCCCCTGGCAGCTGTCTCCTGGGCAGACTTGAGCCATGCTCCAGGGAGGATCTGTTCTCGCAGAGTGAGAGAGAAAACAAACGAGTTGGGGTCAATACTCTGAGAGGTGGACAAGCCTTTAGCTCAGCCAAGGAGCGAATGGGGGACAAAATGGGGAGGGCTGACTCCTGCACGTCTCTCCTCGCCAGCTGGAATCCGCAGACCCTCACTCACTGCCTCCTGCGCAGAGCCCGGAGCCCCAGGGGTCGCCGGACCCTTGGGGAGATAACATCAGAACCAGTGGTTTCCCGGCAGTGCATAAGGGTGGAGAAGGTGGTTCCTTCCAGGTGCCAGTTAGCCAACCGAAAATGCCTGTGTCTCTGTCCCTCCTAGTCCCGGCCTTCATCTGCCCCCTCCTCAAGAAGTGCTCCCTCCTCCTCTTTTCAATCTTCCTGGCAGCCTGGTGGGGGCTGGGCCCCAGCCAGCCTAGCTTTCAGAGCTGGCTTCTCTGGAAGTGCCCTTGGTTCTGACGCCTAAAGCTTTTTGCTTGGACAATGTAGGCCCACCCTGGGCCCCAATTTGTTGGCGATTGAGGGGGGTGCACAAGTAGACCCCGAGAGGCTGCTGGTGTAGTAGCGACTCAGACCAAGTCCCACTTCCTCATCTTCCTGCCTGGCCCTGGTCAGTTTCTTCCCCCTACTTCCCTGGCCCCCACCCCTTTTGGAGCAGGACAGCTTCCATGCGGAGGTGATATTGGGGGAGGGGAAGGCACTGCTGGGAAATTGGCTTCTGTGTTCTCCTGCCCTTACTCCCTATTATAGATTCATCATTTTCATCAGCACAATGGCCTCCCACCACCTTTGCCTAGATGTTTCCTTCCCCTAGGCATGGTTTCCAGTTAAGCACTTTTATGGCCAGCCTCCTACCTGAGTGTCATCTAAACCCTTAGCTAAACCCATTGTACAGAGTATGATATTGAAGTCAGAGAGACAAAAAGACTGACAGGAAGTTCACATGGGCAAAGCTGGAGCTGGTTCTTGGGTCTTCCAGGATTCACAGAAGGGGAGAGGGCGGGACTCAAGATTCCAGAGAGAGGGCAGTGGACTGTCTGAGTGAGTACACACATGTGCAAGGCATTTTCTCTGGTTTAACTATATCTTTCCCCATGACACAACTGTCCATCTGTGTCAGCGCCTGTCTGTTGGTTTGAGCCTGTTAAGGAGATTTCATCCCTGTCCTTTCCCTGTGTCCCTGTTTGCGTGTCTGTGTGTCCCTTCATTTATCATCTCTGGTGCCACTAGGAGGAATTTCCATAACATTGTGGGGTTTTAGAGTTGGGTCTTCCCACTGAGTCAGCAGAGACCCTCTCCCCACAACATTTTGCCTAGCCATGGTCTTGGGGGTTTGGATAGGGCCCCTGGTGGGTAGTATGCCCTTATCAGGGCCTAAGGAGCTTCTGTTCAGGCCAGCCCTCAGAAACCAGAGCCACAAAGGCCTCAGTGGTATCATTAACCCTTTTCCCCCAACCCTCCGCCAAACCTTGCTTAGCCTGCCCTGTGGAGGTGGGCCTGTGTTTCCCTTGTATCTGTGTGTCTGTTTCCTGGTCTTTGCCTTGATTTGTTTGTATCTGTCTCTGTGTCAGGCTCTCTGAAAATTCTACTTGGCCCTGAGAAGTGTAGCTGGGAACATGCACTCCTCAGGGGATGAACCCTCACCCAACTGGAGTCCATAGGAAGTAGAGGCTGGGACTTGGGTTCTCTGAGGAGATGCAGGGCTGGAGCCGGGGTCCCAGAAAACAAAGATTCCTCTCCACAGATGTCCTCTGTCTTCCAGATACCCCTTTACTGGGCTTCCTCCTTTTTCTCTTCTGGTCTTCTTGCCTCCCACTGTACACCACTCTCACCTTTCTTTTCTTTGACTGTACTAGCCGATCCATTCCTTTCTCTCCTCTTCAGCCTTTCTAACCTGAGGCTTCCCTTCCACGCTCTCTGTCCTTGCTGTCTGTTTCATTCAGTGTCCATGCTTTGCATCCTTTCCCTCGCTTTTCCTCTTTTCTTTGCCCATCCTGCCTCCCTCTCTCAGGCTTCAGGTTTTACTTCTTTCCAATCTCAGGGTAAGTGGGAGACATTGCCTTCTCAGACCAGGTAAATTACCTCCCCACCACCCTTGAAATGCTCTGTTGGATAGAACTGTGACTGAGGCAGAGAAGGCCCAGCTAAGTGAGTTTGGGAACCTTTCCAGGAAGTTGAGGGAGATGGGGGGCTCCCAGGTCATCCTGAGTCTGGTGTCAGGTATGGTTATATGGATCAGACTCCGGAAGAACATAGGTAGCCTTGTCTTTGTGGTTAAAAGTAGAGGGTTTGGGAACCTGCTGTCACCTAGAGTGTCCAATCCTTGGGGTTTTTCCATGATGCAAACGGTCCCAAAAGCTCACAAATGTCCTGTAGGACTGCTCTTGGAATTTAAGTCCTCTGAAGGTTGCCACTGCGTTTTGGGCATGAAGTTTAAATTGCCAGGGGCATAGGGAACAAGGAATTGCAAATGGGTTACAAGGCCTGGACTAATAGGTTATCTCAAAAGTGTGCTGGATGCTTTTAGCTTCCTTTTTGTCCTCTCAGATGAGCTTGTACCAATTTTGAATTTACTTTCTTCAATCCAGCCTGTTCTCTAAAGATCTGTACAATTCTTTTTTTATCAGGTGCTCCCAACCCCAGAACAAAGCCTTTCTAAGGCCCTTGACCAGGGGTGGCTGTCATCTTTCTGTTTTAGGTGAACTATGCGTTTTGTTTCTAATTGCAAAATCCTGTTTGGGATGTTTTCCTATTTCTTATGTCTGGGGTGTTTTAGAATGATCAAAATGGATTAAAGCTCATTTTGAAAATCAGAGAGAAATTCAGCTAAGATTTAGAATTAAGTACTGTCATTACCTATAAAATTGTGTTTTTCCTTGAAATCAGCCTGAGCTCAGAAATTTTGGGAAATATTCAGTTAGGACCCTCATGGAAAACTTCAGTGAATTGCTTTGGCAGTTTTAAGGAAATAGGTTATGTTATGGGTGTTTTCCCCTTTTATTTCAGATGTTCATAAACCTAGATAGTAATTGAGTGCTGGGCAGGTAGCTGAGATGAGGTGGCTATTTTCTGTTTTAGAATTGGAGTGTGTGTGTGTATGTGTGTGTGTGTGTGAGTAGGAGAGAGAGAGAGAGATGTCTGAGATGCCCTAGCTTCCCTGGTATAGTCTAATCCCAGGCAAGTCCCAGTTTAGATGGAGATTGCCCCATCATTGGCCTCTGAGCTGCCAGCAGTATTGGTAAATAAATGCTTGCACTTGGATTTTGGCTTTTGACTGTCCTCAGCGATGTCAGTTAGTGGCTGATTAACAGCTACAAGGTCAATGATGTTGCTATCCTGGCTCACTCCGTGTTTACTGGTTTTGCTCTTCATTTACTTGGATCCCTGTTTCCCTCCAGATGGACTCTGATGTAAGAGAAGGGAGCTTATTGGGTGGAGAAGGTACCTTCCCAGGCTCCTTTTGCTTAAAATCCATCTCAGAGTGCTTGTAAAACCTGGGACTCGGAAGCCTTCTCCAGCTTCTTTATTTTCCCCCCAAACCAACTTGATGCTGCTTGTCAATTGCAAAATCGCTTCAGAAATTCCAGGGAAACTCCTGTATAACAAATCCTGATGTGGTAGAGTGGAATGTGATCCTCTGACCCATTTCTTTTGTGTGCCCTGACGGTACAGTGGTCAAGTCTGCATGTCAGCCTCACCTTTTTTGTTTATTTTCCCCTTTATTGAGGGATGAGCCCCATCTTTTTAAAGAAAAGGTTTTTTTTTTTATCAGGGCAGTGGTTGGATTTTGTTTCAGTACTCGGCAGACACTATTTAAACAAAAATTTTTAAGTCCTTAGCCCTTGAATCAGATTGCTGATTAAAAAAAAAAACAAAAAACAACCCATTTTTTTCCCCCTGAGATCTAGGTTTATTGGAAGTAGTCTTTTTCACTTTTACAGATATTTGTTAAAAGGAAAAGAGTTTGTTCTTGAAAATCTCTTTACATTTGGGGTATTTTAAAACATATTTCTCCCCAGGATCTTCCTTAGACCTCAGCATCATGCATGTAATAAGTTATGTCTCTAGTGTAGATTGGGGTCTTTTACATATTCCGTTGTTAACAAAAAATTACAAGGCAGATGCTAGCAACTAAAGGAAACATAGTATGGGGATGCTTTTTATCAATAGCCCGGTTGACTGGCTGAAGATGGACAAAGGCAAAGGTTAATTTTTAAAAGCAAGATACTCGTGAAGCCTGCATGATCAGACTCCAGGCTCAAGATATCCAGCCTGCGGCCATTTCTGATCAAAGGGGCTCTGGGTGCTTGTAACAGAGCTTCTGGTACTATGTGACTGGTTCTAACCACCCTTTCCCTCGCCTTTTGTTTCTGATCTGTTTCAGGACATGGAGGAGTGAATCAGCTTGGGGGGGTTTTTGTGAATGGACGGCCACTCCCGGATGTAGTCCGCCAAAGGATAGTGGAACTTGCTCATCAAGGTGTCAGGCCGTGCGACATCTCAAGGCAGCTTCGAGTCAGCCATGGTTGTGTCAGCAAAATTCTTGGCAGGTAAAGGCAGGAGCTACAGGCTTCCCTTGATTTTTCAAATAACGACCTAAAACATGACCCAGCCGCTGTCCAATGTGCCTGCGTCATATTGAAAATCATGGTAGCACTTCGCTAACATGCATAATACTTTGGAATTTGCGAATCCCTTTTAAGGCCATTCAATTCAAAGTAGCCCTGGGAAACTCCCCCGTTTCAAATGACATGTGGAATGGGGTGACTCAATCAGGAGGAATGACATGTCTTCTGACAGCCTGGTGAATTATTCCAAAGGACCCACGAGTAAGAGGTTCTTGGGAATTTCCCTTACACATCTTGGGTGAGCCCGGGACCTGAGCAGGCTGGGTGAAAAATCCACAAGTTATAAAATCACATTATCAAGTTCAATGTTTTATTTTAACGTTTTCAAAAAGCACATTCTTTTTTTAAAGGTCAGCTGTCATTTTCAGTTTTGGGGTATCATCAACCTTCTTATGTTGGGCTGTAGTATTTTCCTCCTTATATGTTTCGTTTCCTTCATAGTGACAGGCATCCTAAGTGTATATTAGAGAGGGAAAAAAAAAACCAAAAAACAAACACACACTAACTCTCAAATCTGACGTTTGAAAGTTGCCGCTTGACCTGTCGATTTGCTGCCAGCAAAATACTAACGATGCCAATTCTCCCAGAGGGCTAGATAGCCCAGCCTTCGAGTACTCCTGTTTATTTTCTCAGGAGAACCTCAGTATGATCCAGGGAAGCATGTTTTAAGATGAGGAAACAAATCTACAGAGGTCAAGTGACTGACCCAGGTCCATCCAGCCAGTCAGTCCTCTCGGACTGGGAGGAGGCCTCAAGGACTCTTAGACCATCGGCATCTCACCATATCCCAAAGTCAAAACCATGGGTTTTTTTCTGGGCATGTGAAGTTGTTAGAGGTCTGCCCTAGCAGCCAGAGTATTCTCAGGTCTAGCTGTTCAGTGCTTTCTCAGGATTTTTCTCCCCAGGTCAGAAAACAACCTTGATCCTGTAGCTTGCATTATGATTTGAGAACAGTTGCCTGAATAGAAAAAAAAAATATTTGAAGTATATCAGTTACATTGTGATTTTCTGCATGTTCTTTCCCTTTCATCTGCTGGAATTTAAGAAATTCTCTTAGATGGAGGGAATAGCAGTTTCTAACCTTGGGGAGCCGTACTGGAGGCCAAGGGAAGAAGTTTCAAGGCCAGGGGTCTAGCATCCCCTTTGGGGACCTTGATCCTTGTGTTTATTCCTTATCCCCTGCCCACCCCAGGTCACCTCGCAGCCGGGGAGGCTCTGGGCTCCACTCCTGTTTAGCACTTGGCAGCAAATGAGCCCCAGCCAGAGTTCAAGGAGGAAGGCTGGACATCAGCATGGTGTTCTCGTTAGATGGTGGTTTTAGGCAGGAGGATGAGAGTGAGAATAAAAGAAGAAAAATAGAGGAGAGGGAGATGAAGAGAAAAGAGAATGATTGATTTTAAAACAGAGAATAGACTAGAATAGAGCAGTGAAGACCAGACAGAAGGAGAGAGAGAAGAGAGGAAAGAAATATTTTAGACTATCTCAGTGTCAGACTTTGAGAGCTAAGTGGATCTTAGCTATCTTCTTGGGAAGCCTCTTCATTGCACTGAGGGAGAGAGAGAGAAAAAAGAAGGCCTTTCCTTTGTTTTTGCTGAGACATTATTGTTGAGCCGACATCTTGCTTGCTGTTTGAAATCTTCTCAGGGCAAGATGCCGAGCCCTTCTCAGAGGGGACGTCCAGATGCTGAGTCCTCATGTTCTGGTGCCCCGGAGCCCTCCAGATCTCCCCTGGAGACTGAAGGGGACAAGGACCCTCCCAGGCCCAGCCGGCAGCCTCCCGAGGCCCAGAATAGATTTGTCACTAGGTAGAGTGGCACTCGGAAGTTATGAGCCGCTCCGGTGCCTGGCCGTTTAAGTTGTCAACAATAAATTGGAATTTCATAGCTCATTATTTTCATAACTAAGAACCACAGTGGACAAAATGTCACTCTAATTAGAACTGCCTTTTAAGAAACAAGTTCAGCCCTAAAACGTGTGACTGGGAATTTCTGAACTGGGGTTGTTCCATCCACTGACTTTTTTTTTTTTTGGTCACCGAAGAATTTGATGGGCGCATTTGGAGTGACAGATTATAGAGAGTGGTTGTATGTGGTAGCCGTGGTTTTCAGAGGCTGCATGACAAGGCAGGCAGAGTCCCTGGGGCAGGCAGAGACCCCCATCATCTTGGGAAGGTGGCGGTTTGCCAGGAGTGTGGGCATTCAGTCCACAGAGCTCGAGGCTCAGGAGCCTGGTGGCATGTGAGGCCCATTTAAATCCACCCAGAAAGCCTGGTTGTTGTCTTCTTTCACTGGAGCCTGGCTGGGGGGGTTCAGACCTTTTGGAACTGGGTGGTATGTTACACAGTAATAAACACTCAGAGGATTTTAATCCGCAGCACGTGCTCTTTATGTTTTGCAAAGCTTTTTCTTACCCATTCTGCATTTCTGCCTGCGTCCTGTGAGGCAGGCTGGGCAGACATGCTCCCCTTATTATACAAATGGGGCGACAGAGGCCCAGAGAGGCTAAGAGGTTTGGCCAAGGTCACACAGCTTGTTAGTGTCAGAGGCACGGACTACCACGCCCACTTCTTTACTCCCAAACTAGCGTGCCGTGTGTTGGCGGCGGCTGTCTGTCTGTTGTGTGTAAGCCAAGAGGCTGAGTGGTGGTTGTGCTGAGAGGGAAGAGCAATTCTTCAGTCCGATTCCTCACTTCACACGGTTGCCAACTGGGGTTTCCCCTGGGGTGTCAGGGTTGCCTTCTAAGGGCCTGGCTGATGGGTCAGTCAAAAGGCAGACAGAGGTCTCGTGTCAAGGCTGTGACCTGCTGTGGTTGGCCCTGCTCGGAGAGCCCTGGGTGCTGCCACCCCCAGCCAGACCAGCGGGACAGGGGCTGGGGGGAGGGGCAGCTCCCTCCCGCTGCTCTCGCTGCTGCTGTGGGAATATTGCCAGCTCATTCCACTAGTATGTTTTGTGTCCTCAGCCCAGGTTTGTCTCTGTCTGTAACCTCTGCCCCAAGACAGTGCCTATAACTGGCACTCTGTGACCAGTGAGTGGGTGCAAAGATGCATGTGAACTGCCTGGTAAATGGGAAAGCTTTCTACAGTTGCAAGGGATCATCAACATCATCGTTGTTTTCATTTTTACAGTCGAAGCAGAAGTTTGCTCTAGTGGGAAGAAGACTGGGTTCAGAGTCAGATCTGAGAGCTGGGACTGGCTCTGACTTCCAGAAGGAAGTTGGGCAAGTCACTTACTCTTCTCATCATCAGTTTCCCCTTCCATAAATAAAATCCGCTGGCCTCTTAGGATTGATGTGAGGATCCAGATAATTTGAGGAAGAGCTCTGTATGAACTTTAGAGCAATGTGCCTAAATAAGGAGTTACTGTGTTGTTGATAATAAGAAATGACTTTTTATTGTAAAATTGGAAGGATAATTGGAAGCTGCAGAGATTGCTGTGTGCCTTGATTTGGGTGCCTTTCTAACCTTCTGGCAAAATAACATTTTCTTGGATAGTTCTTAAAGCCTCTTTGCGATTAATTACAATTTTTCGGTCATTACAGAAAGAGAGAGGATAGGTTGAGTTCTTCCTTATGGTCCATATTTGTACATGACTCACTTTTCTCACTGAAAAACAGAATTTCCACTTCTGCATCACTGCTCCCAAATTATTTCATCTGTTTCTAGAATATCCACTAACTTGGCCCTAACTAGATTTACCCAGACTGAGAATTTCAACATCTCTTTAAATGTAACTAGTCATTGTTCTTGGGTAACACTTCCCATCCATCCATAGGAGAATCACCTCTTTCCCTTACCTGTTATAAACTCTTGGTTTATAGGCTGAAAAATTACCAGTGATGGGGGCGCCCTGGCTGGCTCAGTCGGTGGAGTGTCCGACTCTTGATCTCAGGGTCTTGAGTCCTGGCCCCACGTTGGGTGCAGAGTTTACTTAAAAAAAAATTAACAGTCATTTCTAAAATGTCTTCTTGGCTAAAGAAATTCTCAATAGCAAGATAATCTCCTTTGCAAGAGGAGTCAAGAATTTCTCTGTAAATGTTGAGAGACATCCAGTAAAGGCTCAGATTCAGAAAAGGAATCAAGTAATATTTTTTCCCCTGGAATGATCTTTCACGGCACTCTTCTCCCCGGTCTCGGTTTTACTGTAAAACCCTGACATCCTATTTGTGTTAACGAGGAAGAGCTGATAGCATGGAAATGTCCTTAGAAACAGCGATTTACCTCAGGGGAGTTCCCTGGAAGAGCTGCAGTGACTTGTGGTTGGCTTTTTTTTTATTGCTTGGGTTTTGACTTATATATATATTTCCAGTTAATTCTGGAATCCAACACTCCTTTTAGTTTTATACTAGGGTTATCATTTTAATCTTATGGCAAAAAAAAGGTTGCATTTTAGGGGACAGTTTCACAGAATGCAGATGGAATCTGCTAGGGGATGGGAGTGCTGGTAAATTAAAGGCACAAGCCAACTTTCTGGGGGAAATTTTAGCTCGGGAGGCCGGGCCTCCATCCTGGTTTGGCCAGTGGGTCTTGTGTGATCCTGGACAAGCCATTTAACCTCTATGGATCTCTGTTTTATACCTACCAGTAGGGACCTATTCATTCATTTTTCTTTCATTTGTTCAAAATATTTATGTGCTTTAGAACTGTTGTGGGGATCAAATGGGAAAGCTGACTTGAAAGTTTCCTGTAAACTGTAAAATGGTAGATGAATGTGATAGAGTGAATTAACTAATTAATGCATAGCATCCGGACCAGCACTGTCCGACAGAAATAGAATGTGAGCTGAGTTTGAAATTTAAAATTTCCTGGTAGTGTATTTAAAAAGGGTAAAATAAACAGGTAAAATGAATTTTATGTATCTTATTTAGCCCAGTAGATGAAAAGTGTGATCACTTCAGCATATAACCAATATAAAAATTATTAATGAGAGATTTTACGTTCTTTTTTTTTCTACTAAGTTTTGACAATCTGGTGTGTATTTTATGCTTATAGTGCACCTCAATTCAAATGAGCCATATTTCAAATGTTCAAAAGCCCCGTATGGCTAGTGGCTGCTAAACTGGACGGCACAGATCCAGATGGTTTCTGGACAGAGTAGCTATTTTGTTGCAAACATCCATTTTGCTGGTCCATTTTGCTGGTTCCTCATGGCTAAGCTCCTTTCTCCTTGGGTCCTAGGTATTATGAGACGGGGAGCATCAAGCCTGGGGTAATTGGAGGATCCAAACCAAAGGTCGCCACGCCCAAAGTGGTGGAAAAAATCGCTGAGTATAAACGCCAAAATCCCACCATGTTTGCCTGGGAGATCAGGGACCGGCTGCTGGCGGAACGTGTGTGTGACAATGACACGGTGCCCAGCGTCAGTTCCATCAACAGGTGAGGGGCTGCTGCCTGTGGGGGGGCTGGGGATCTGGGTGGAATGGGGTATCCTGGAGGCTCTGCGGGTGCTTTTCCGAAGGATCTGGTCTCTCCATTCATTAAGGCCCCTGAGGGGTTATCAGATAGGAGGGGGGCTAACAGGGCCTCAATAGATCTCTCTATCGCCTTTCTTGTCTTTCCAAAGTGGGCAGGAGTTCTAGGCCCAGGGAGGGAAGGCCATGTCAGTACCCAGGCTGCTTGAGATTTTTCTGAGCCCAGAGTGATTTTTTTTTTTTTTTAAGATTTTATTTATTTATTTGAGACAGAGAGAATGAGAGACAGAGAGCATGAGAGGGAGGAGGGTCAGAGGGAGAAGCAGACTCCCTGCCGAGCAGGGAGCCCGATGCGGGACTCGATCCCGGGACTCCAGGATCATGACCTGAGCCGAAGGCAGTCGCCCAACCACCTGAGCCACCCAGGCGCCCATGAGCCCAGAGTGATTTTTATCACTCACTTTCCCACCCGCCTCTGTGTGTGGAGAACTTAGCAGGGGATTGTCCTGATCGGGCCCCACAAATGTCACTTCCTTGTAAGCCCATGCTCAAAGTGTTAGCACTGGCCTATATCAGACCTTCCCAGGAAGAAAATCCCTGCCTTCCGTTTGGGCAGAGGTTGAGCCACTGAGTGTGGAAAACAGAGCCTGGACTTGAAGTTGGAGGATTTAGTTCCTTGTCCCAGCTCTGCCACAACCTCCAAGTGTGACCTTGACAAAGCTCTTGCTGTCTCTGAGAGCCCCAGACTTTGGAGGTTCTGATGTGGGTCTGTGATCTCCAAGAGTGACATCCAGGACACTAAGATGCTGTGGAGTTAGGGGGCTGCCCCCTACCCAGTTGCCCTCAATCTCACCCATGGAGAGAAAAAACCAGAGAAATACCGTGAATACCAGGCATGGGATTGTCCTGGGAACTGCAGAGGCACTTTCTACTCTGCAGTCTGATCCAGGAAGTATCTAACGGAGCTCTCAGAGCTTTAAAAATTCCTGAAAGAAAGTTTTCTATTGTAGATGGTGCAGTCTCAATTCCATCTAAACCCACAGAGGTCAAGGATGAAGTTGTAAGATAAATAGAAACGATTGTTGTCTAAACTCCACAAAGAGAAGAGAAGCCAGCAGACCGAAAACTTGACCAGTTCCCATTTCTCCAAGATCACAGGCGACCCTTGTCAGTGCAGAGCCTACTTGGGCATAGGAGACCCCTAGCCTCTGGCAGAAAGAGGTGGTTAGACCAGAATGTCTCAGAGATCCCTTCTGGGCCTGCTGGTTGTTCCTTCTGTGGTGACTCAAATGCGCAGAGTCACTGTGTCAGTGTCTGTGTTGATGTTTTGAGTCCTGCTATTTCATTACCGTTAGCCTGTTTTCTTTCTCTCAGCAAATCTTTACCTTGGCCCTGACATCATGCAAGGTGCTGAGAAGAGAGAGGGAATTGGGCACACTGTCTCTTAGTCTCTGTTCTAGAGGGCCTCCTTGTCTAGGACAGGATTCTGGTGCGGATTAGAAGTCTGGTCAGCCCAAATTAGCTGAGGAGGTAGCAACTATTGTGGTGGGTTTGGGGGGCGGAGAATACTCCTGTTCTTTTTCTGGATTATGAGGGGCTCCAATGTGCTTTGTGAGGACCCTGCTTCTGGCTCATTGCAGGATTTCCATCACGCAAAGCAACGTGACTCTTTCCCTATGAGCAGTGCAGCAGCAGAAGCCTGCTCTGCAAAGAAACTTCTGCCAAACCTGTGGTCAGGCTTTGGGGGCCCACGGATTTCCCAGTGTAGGGTGTACATGTAATTGGTGGTTTGAAAGATAACTTTAGGTTGCCCGTGGGGGTCCCAAAATCTAATGCCTGTTGTGGCCAGGCAGTGAAGCGGGCCAGGTGTGAGGTGATAGGGAAAGGTTGGGTCTGCGGCAAACAGACAGCACAGCAGTATTGAAGGGGCAGGGCCTTCTCAGCACCAGCTGAATGCTGCCGGGAAAGCAGGCCCAGGATTTGCCAGAATCTTTCCACTCTTGAAGGGAATCTGGAAACTAGGATTAGTGTGTGCATGTATCTATGTGTTTGTGTATATAAAACCTCCATGTTTTTAAATGGGGGTGACTAATTTCAGTGAAAAAAAATGCCTTACAGGACAAGCATAACTCATTTGCAGGGCTCCAGCCCTTCTGTAATACAAGGATGAAAATTATTTTATGATGAATTTATTTTAATGGACTTTAGAAAAATATAACTAGAACACCAAGCCAGTCAGTGTGAACTTTATGGACTATCCCTCCCCTTTACGGTAAAGAACTAGTGTTGCCTCATAAAAGAAGTCTATTTAAGTCAAAAAGTAAGTTACTTGAAAGGAACAGATGAAATAAATAGAGCACATAGCTTGGCAGAGGGGGTGAAGGCTGTAAGGGGTGCTTGAATGAGTGTCTAGGGAAACCGTGGAGCAGCCGATGCTTTGTGCTTGGAGCTTTTCTGTGCAGCTCTGCCTGCTGGTTGCCCGTGGCTGGGGCCGTGGCCGGCCTCAGGGCCTCCCGTGTCCCCAGCGGGGGCTGTACCTCTGAGGTGTTTTCACACCTGTGGTCTCCTACAGCCCTTGAGGCTTAACTCTGTTCTGTGGCAGGTAAAGAAACTGAGGCCCAGCAGGGGAGAGCAGAGGAATGATGATTTTGAGGTGGAGCTGGGAGTTGAGCCTAGGTTCCCCGATGGTAAGAAGAGGGCCTGTCTCTTTGCACTGCCCTGGAGGACTCTGCCAGTGACAGGACTGGGGATCTGACAGAAGAGAGGCAGGGGGGAGTGAAACAGCCATTCCTACTCCATCTCTGTGCACTTTGCAGCCTTTATGCTTTGCAGCCTGTCTGTAGCTCCCTCGGGGACCCGGAGCCCTCTCCTGCGCACCCCTCTGGGGGCTCTTCTCTGGGGGCACACTCTGGCTCCTTCCTCCATTCCTCACCCAGGGCTCTTTGCGGTCTTTAGCCAACCAACCCAACAATGCAGATAGACAGGGTGCGGGACGCTGTCTGTGGCTGCCTGCCCGCCCCCCACTGCCCGAGAAAGCCTGAGCCATCCCAGCATGCAGTTCTGTTTTCCATACGAAGGCAAAGCTGCTGCACTGCGTTCAAATGGATGCAGTTTCGAAAGAACCGTCTTGCAAATATCCATAGATTCCTCTCCCAGCCCCTGCCTCCCTTGGGGGCAACTTCTCACGATTCCCTTATTTCAAACAGCTAAGGAGGGAGTGGTGACGGGATTGGTAGCTATTCCGGGGGCCACAGTGTCGTCTCCAGTGTCCACCCCCACAAGTGTATGCCTTCCTGCTGTCTTCTGGGAGACCAGCCCGGGAATCCCTGACCCACATGGAGTTAAGTGCCATCGCACCTGTTGTGCTGAGCGTGTGGGAGATTTCCTGGGACACAAGCCAAGTGTCTTGTTATTCTGTGGCTTTCGAAGGACAAGGAAGCGCTGGGATGCTGCCGAAGCTACACCAAGGATTTTTAGAATCCATCCTGAGTGTCCGTTGGAGGGGACTGTCCGAGAGCTGACAGAGACAGGTGGAATGGAGTCTGCCTTCTGTTCGAGACCTGTGGCTCTAAATCAGGGGCCAAGTGGTGGGCACCATGGGTGGCATTCCCAGTTAGAAGGACAGTTCTCTTTAGCACCAATTGGTTGTTATCATGTGAGAACGTGGGGTCAGCATGGCTAGGTGTTCGGATTTTTCAAGGGAAGCTACAAATCCATGTATTTATGTAAAAGCTCCCACCTTGCAAATATTGGCAACTAATTCAAATGAAAACAGGTAACCGTGCAAGCCAAATAAAGCTTGTTCAGGGATGGACGTGGCCTGGGGGACGACAGTTGTAAACTCTACTCTTCCTCTGAACTTGGGCAGCAAGACTTCTGAGATTGTTTACCCATTCCCTCTTTCTTCTCCACCTCAGTTGCTGGCCTGGGTGTCCCCTGTGTGTCCTCTCCCAGTATGGTCCAGTTGAACCCTTGGTTGTGGATTCTTTCTGTCTTTCTTTCTTTTTTAAAGATTTTATTTATCTATTTGACAGACAGAGAGATCACAAGTAGGCAGACAGGCAGGCAGAGGGAGAGGGAGAAGCAGGCTCCCTGCTGAGCACGGAGCCCGATGCGGGGCTCGATCTCAGGACCCTGGGATCATGACCTGAGCTGAAGGCAGACGCCCAACCAACTGAGCCACCCAGGCACCCCTGGTTGTGGATTCTTAGCACAGCTGATGGCCCGAGATTCTTAGTGCCCAATGGCAGTTTGATCAGTTCTGTAGATATGGGGAATCTCTTCAGCCTTGTCTTCCTATTTCTTTTTTAAAGGCACCATGATTTTCTCTTTCAGTGTAATTGTGTATGGAGGGTGGTGGGGGAATGTGTCTGAGAAGACCTAGCCTTTCAAAGAAGTGAGGGTGATGTTGAAATCGGATCCTTACAAATGCCTGTAATACCTGAAGTCCCTGGGACGTTAGTCCTTCAGTTTCTAAATGGATTTGGAATCCAATATTTCCTGTAGGAAATATTTAGCAGGGGGATCACTTCCTTTGAATGTGGTCCAAAGGAAAGTGCTTAGGCATGGAACCTGGAAGTCTGGGCTGACCTGCTGTGTGACCCTGGCAAGTCACTGGAGCACTCTGAGCTTTGGTTTCCCCATTTGGAGGAACTGGTTGATTGCTGAACTTTCTTCCCTGTTGGACGATCTAGGATGTTCACATGGCACCCAGGGTCATGCTCAGGCTCAGCAACGTAGAGGTTAGACATTTTAGTGTTAAGTGCCAGTTAGCCAGGCTGTCTCTGGTTTAGAAAAGGTCTGGAGTGTGACTCTTATTGTGACAAGTCTTGATGATTGCTTGTTAATTTTAAATTTTTAAAGAACTGCTATGATTCAATTAGTCTTGTTCTTCCCACTACCATTTCTTCTCAGCGGAAGATAATGCTCTTTGTTCTTTTTTTGGCAGCTGCTGCAAGCAGATGGGCAAAATCTCTATCCCTGGGGACAGCTTTGGCGGGTTCCCTATATTTTGGTCTCGCCTATAAAGGACAACCGCACTACAGCCTTAAAATAGGGTGTGGGGTTGGCTGCTTTCCCCTCCCCAATTCCCAGGGGGGATCCCATGTGTTTTTAAGGCATTCGTGGAAAATACTAACCTTTCAAGGTTGAAGCTGGTCTTTAGTCGTTATGAAGATACTACTGAAAATAACAGCTAACATTTATAGAGAATTTACTATGCAGTAGCCACTATTCTAAATTATTAATGAGTTTAATTCTCATAATAACCCTAGGAGGTAGGAATGATTCTTAGCCCCACTTTGCAGATGAAGAAACTGAGGCACAGAGAGGTTAAGTAATTTACTCAAGGCCATGCAGCTGGCAAGTTGGAAAACTGGGATTCAACCTCTGATTCTGGGCCTGTGTATTTATTTATTTATATAATTTTTTAAAGAAAGATTTTATTTACCCTTTGGCGGGGAGGGACAGAGGCAGAGGGAGAAGCAGGCTCCCCGCCGAGCAGGGAGCCCGACGCGGGCCTCGATCCCAGGACCTTGGGATCATGACCTGAGCTCAAGACAGATGCTTAAACGACTGAGCCACCCAGGCACCCCGTGGAGCCTGTGTATTTAATCGATATGCTGCAGCTGCCTCTTGATGATTTATAACAATTGATAATGTCTTACCAAACGATTTATAAATATTTTAAAAGAAAAATAAGGAAAATATAATTTTCTTTGTTTGCTTAAATTTAATGGCCAGACAATACTTTGAAAAGTTAGGACTTTATGCTGAAAGTAATGGGAAATAGTTCTGATATATTTTACCATATTTTTGTATATACATAAACCGTAACATAGATAAACTATATTTACATCTGGTATATCCATATATTCATATCAAGCCATATCTCTGTAGACAAACACACATATATCCACAGAGAAGGTGACATACACAAAAATACAAAAATTAGGTCAGATTCTAGCTTAATTCTAGGTGGTTCCAAAAGACTACCTCATTCCCAGGTCCTTGTGAATATGCTCCACGTTTGCTGAGTTAAAATAAGCACTTTGAGGGCGCCTGGGTGGCTCAGATGGTTAAGCGTCTGCCTTCGGCTCCGGTCATGATCCCAGGGTCCTGGAATCGAGTCCCGCATCAGGCTCCCTGCTCCTTGGGAGCCTGCTTCTCCCTCTGCCTCTCTCTCTCTCTCTCTGTCTCTCATGAATAAATAAATAAAATCTTAAAAAAAAAAAGCACTTCGAATATTGGAGAAAACAAACACCGAATGCATTTGATGCAATACTTACACCGACTCATAGAAAAGGGCAAAGGACCCTGGAGGCTCAAAGGGCCTGGACTCCAGAGGACCCCGTGGTTGGGCTGTGGTATGAAGGGAAATGTCCGTTCCAGGCTCTCAGCCGAGCATGCTGAGCAGCCTGGGCGCCCACCACTGAGCTGTGAGATCGTGGAGAGCAGAGGCCATAACCCAGTGAGGGCATCCTCACTGCTCTCCATTTGTACAGGCTGGAGACCCAGTGCAGCTTGCAACTTGGACTTCCCGAGATAATGGTCTGGAATGTGAAAAAGCCTCTCCTATGGTGGCACTGAGTGAAGAGAGCGGGATACAAACTGTGTACATGGTTTAACCTTGATTTTGCTAACAGAAAATGGATATTTCCTACTATGCATAGGAATGTTAGCATAAAGGAAATACACTGAAATGTGATTTTTAGATGTCTTCTTTATATTTATTGTCCTAAAAGTCTGCAGTGAGCACAAATTGCTTTTATAATTAAGAAGAATTCTAGTAAGTGTTCTTTTAAAAGGTAATAGTTGGAGGGTGGAGTAGAACTTTTCCAAAGAAGCTGAACATTGTATTACCACCCACCCTTCTCCCAAATGCCAGGGAAGGAACTTTCTTGTGGACCCACAGGGGCTTCTGGCCTGGCCAGGTTGGTTACTCTATGACACGCAGGGCTTGGGGTCTCATGGAGACCCATATGAGTGTGTTGTTCCAGAAAGAAATTTACAGCCTAAGCTTCCCAGAGCCCAGGGTTCTGCAGAGGAACATCGGAGCCAGCAGGTGCAGAGGGAAGACAGTACCGCTGTTACCCCTTTTATACAGTGGGATTTTCTGGAAGATTTTTTCCCCCAAAAGAGGATTTAATCACTTAAAGCAAGTAGTGTGGTCTGTTCCAACTCCCTCGTCATATTGAGGCCCACAACGGAATGGACTTGCCCAGGGTCACAATCAAGTTCATCATATTTGAACTAGAGCAAGGTCTCTGGAAAGACAAGCCAGGACACCCCTGGCTCCTGGCCCTGTTGGAGCGTAACCATGAGATTTTGTACAAGGCAGCTTTGGAGGGTTCCTCGTAGCAAAGCCAAGCCAGCACTTTAAACCCTTTTTAGGTTGAGAGCAACACACATCCGCTTCTTTGATAATTTTTAACAGGTGGGGATGTGACTCCTCATGTGACTCTTTAAGGCAGAGAAACCAGAGCATGTGGGCCCCCAGGGAACAGAGAGGTCCCCTGGTTCAGTCATTCTGCTGAGAAGGGGCAGAGGTCTGGGGAAGGGAAGAAACTCTCTAATGTCACTCAGGGAATTCTTTATGGTGCTGGAGCTGCTCCAGAGAAAAAGATGCCCATTCATAACACTAACATATCATCCTTTTTCTACGGAAGAGGCACTCGAATCCCAGACAGGGGTGCAAGTTATCCAAAGACACCCAGGGAGGTAGGGGCTGAGTTGGGACTAGTCCATAGCTCTTCTAACCCCCTAACTCCCAGTCTAGGATATAACCTCCCTCCTCCTCTGCCCCAGCTTGATAAGGCTTTTCTGGTTGTCCGTGCATAGCTAGTTGAGATATCTTCTCGATGATGGTAAATAGCCATTATTTTCTTTCCCAACTGTCCACAGGATCATCCGGACGAAAGTACAGCAACCACCCAACCAGCCGGTCCCAGCTTCCAGTCACAGCATAGGTAAGAAGAACTTTTAAAAAAAATTTAAAAATCTAATGGGTTCCAAATAGTCTAAAGAACTTTTAATCATTCTTATGGACAGATAATTCTGCATAAAACACTTCGGCACACGTACTAATGCGCCTTCTTTGTCATTCTCCAAGGGCTGAACCTGGTAAATGAATTTTATAAATACTGCTAAAAGGTTTTGAATTTTACTGATTATTATGATAAATAGCTTTCACCATGAGACAGAAAATTGAAATCTAAGCCAAAAAAAAAAAAAAAATCCACTAATGGGGGTCTATAGAATGTCAGATAATTAAAGTAATAAATCAAGAAAGGGATACTTATTCATAACATTTTCTGCATCATTAGTCAGTAAGTAGTTTTGAATGTGTTTTTTTCTTCTATTAACCAGCCCTTCCACAATTCTTTGTGCACTTGCAGTCTTCAGTGAAGATGTGGCAAAACTTCCCAAACTTTCTCTCTTTCTCTCTCTCTCCCCCTCTCTCGCTTCGATCTCATGTACTCCATGAATTGTTGAGGGCTGCAGTGGGGTTTTTGACACTCACGGGGAATAGTCTGAGCAAGGGCCACTTGTAAGCGTGGGGGTCCTATTTCTTACTATTGAAGAATTCGGAAGTTTCCGTGCCTTTCCCTTCCCCGCAAAGACTGTGAGATGTCAGTGACATGTGTCTATTTAAGACACGTTATTTCGCCACTTGGGATAAAGGAAACACCTCTGGGGGGAAGGCTATTCTATAAGAAAGTGGTGGCCATTCAGGAAGCCTCTGACAGTCCCTGTCACTGTCATTTAATAATGCCTCAGACTGTCTAATGTTTCCACATCTTTGTCACTCCCTCTTTAACTGCAAACTTGAACTCCCCGTGTTGATGGGGGATGGGCAGACGCCAGGCTTATACTTCCAGCTTTGCCATTAACTCATCCGGTGAACTGTGTAAGTCCCTTTGCTTCTCTGAGCCTTAGTTTCCCCATTTGTGGACTGAGGTGCACAAACTAGGTGCTCCCTGAGGTTTCTGGTCCTCCATGTTTGCCTCTTTGGATAAAGGTAAGAGAGAGTTCCTCCCTACCATAAAATAATTCTTTTTTAAAAAAATATTTTATTTATTTGAGAGAGAGAGAGAGAGCACGAGCAGGGGGAGGAGCAGAGGGAGAAGCAGACTCCCCGCTGAGCAGGAAGCTACCGTGGGGCTCGATCCCAGAACCCTGGGATCATGACCTGAGCTGAAGGCAGATGCTTAACCCACTGAGCCACCCAGGTGCCCCTAAAATAATTATATAAGACTGATGAATCACAGACCTGTACCCTTGAAACAAATAATACATTATATGGTAATTAATTGAATTTAAATTAAAAGAAATAAATAGTTCTTTAGTAGTCCATTCAAAAAGTGTTTGCTAAGCCCCTGCTTTGCAAGAGACTAGTATTTTAAAGGAGGCAGGACCTAATCCCCATTCTCCAGGGCTTCTCAGTCTAATGGGGGAATGCAACTAAGAGAAGTTTGCAAAACACTGAGCTCAGGCTCAAGAAGAAAGTAAAGGGTACTGTGTGAGCCAAAGGAAGGAAACTACCAGCTCTGTTGAGCTAGGCTGAAGAGGGTTGAGGAGGGTTCCTGGGGAAATGTGTATGGCTGAGATTTCACTTGTAGCTTTAACTATTTCAGATCACGGAACAATGAATATCAGACTAAGAGTAACTTATACTATTCTTTCAGTTGGGTTAGAAGAACAATTCTACTTGTAGGTCAGCAGAATGCTTTGTTTTGTTTCAGAAATTTTTATAAAAAACCTATCTTACATGTGTACAGCCCCTTATAGTTTACAAATTTATCGAGGGCAGAGGAAACGGAAGTTGAGAGATTAAATAACTAGCCCAAGGGCACCCTGCTCATAAGTGGTGGAGCCAGAATTGGAATTTGGGTCTTTTGAGTCTAGTGCAATCACAAAATATCATTGGCTCTGTCAGCGACATGGTGAGCCTTGGTCATACGTGGTTGTTGTTTTTTAAAGTACCAAATGACTTGTGATCTTCTTCCTCTGTTCTTTGCACCTTAATACAGAAAAGGTTGTGAGATTTGCATAAATCTATTTTGAGGCGCTTCTTCTGGTGAAGGAAAAGAGAAGTTAATGATTTCTACTTCTGTGTCTCCTAAGGAAGATCTAAAAATCTAACTCAAATATGAGAAGAAAGGCACTGTTCCCTCTAGGTCTGTAGAAGTAAGAGCTGGATATGCTCCAAGGAAAGCACCCAACAGCTTCTCACGCAATCACCATCATTTCTTGTAATTTTCTACACTTTAGAGCCAAAGGCGGCTCCACCTGCCTCCAGCTAGTTATAGCCCAAGGAAATGTGTCTGAGATTGGTTTGTAGGTTTTAATGAACCAAGAAAGAATTCCCACAGCCCAGAAATGGAAATTCAGCTGGATAGCTCCAGAGGACCCTGACGACTGACTGGTCTTTCCCTTGGAGTCTGGGGTTAGGAGTTAATGTGAAACTTGCACAAAACCTCCCCTCCCCCGTGCTTATCCTTCGGGATGTAGAGACCTGGCCTCAGTCACAATAAGTCACTAACCCCAGCCCCCACATTTCCAGACAGGGGAAATCTAGACTTCAAGTCTAGACCCGAGGCTCAGTCCTAGTGCTCCTGCTAACTGGCTAGATGACGTTGAGCAAATCCCTTCACCTTGTGAAGCCTTATTTATCAAATAATAGCACTTTAGGTTGTTGCAACCATCAAATAGAAAAACACTGCACTAATGTGAAGCATAGGATTGTTTTTCATGATTCCTTAACGAGGAACAGGTTACTCTAGGGGTTCAGACTTTAGCTTCTGAGTTCTGTGGCCTTGGGCAAGTCACTTACCTTTCTCTGAGCTTTGGTTTCCTTACCTTTCCAATGAGATAATAACATTGCCTCCCTTATAAGATTGTTCTTAGAATAAATAAAACAATGCCTCAGTAATGCCTGGCACAGAGTAAGTTCTCAGAAAACGTTAGTTATCATTATTATGTATATCAATATATATGATGTATGCACTATATATATTCTATTATATATCATATCATTATTACATAATTAATATTAAATATTAAAATCCAGGTAAACTGGAAGGAGAAAAGACAATGAGGAACTATAAAAAGAAGGAACGGTTTGCCATTTGGAGTTTTGTTGGCTGAGTGTATGAGTGTGCAGGTATTTATGTCTGCATGGATGGGTGGATATGTAGCAAGGAATGAACCTGCTTAATGAGTAGTCTAGGTCTTTTTTTTAAGCACTGGCTGGTGGTGGGCCCCGGCTCCCCTCTCTCTCTCTTCTCCATTCCCCTGCTTCCTGCATCCTTGGACAGGCTGGGATTTGAGCTAGTGCCCTTCTGACACTGTCCCGTGCTCTCTTCTGCCCCGCCAGTCCTCCTAGCTGCCCATCCTCTCCCTCTCACCACCCCCAGCAGTAGGAAACCTGGGCAGATGGCCCCTGAGGGCAATTCACATCGCCCAGGTGTAGGGGCTGCCATAGGGCGAGTGTCCTCAGCACACACTCGCCGTGTCCCGCACTCCCCGGCTCCGCAGGCAGGCAGGCAGTCGCACGCATCAGCCCAGTGCAGGGCGAGTGCCTTTGTTTGGCCCGAAGCGCCCGCCCCCACAGTCCTCCTGCCGGGCCCTGACCGCCCCTCTCCCTCTGCGCAGTGTCCACGGGCTCCGTGACGCAGGTGTCGTCGGTGAGCACGGACTCGGCCGGCTCCTCGTACTCCATCAGCGGCATCCTGGGCATCACGTCCCCCAGCGCCGACACCAACAAGCGCAAGAGAGATGAAGGTAAGAGATGCCCATGCAGCCCTGTCCAGGATGAACCTGACGGGCTCTGTTGTGGGGCGGATCAGTCAGGGGTGGAAGCGAAGATGCCCACTGAGCACCTGTTTGCCCGCCGAGCCCCTGAGTCCCCAGGCGGGGTGGACACGGGGAGGGGCTGAGGGCTCTAGGAGAGGCAGGCAGGCTGCTGGGCTGGGACTGGAGGTTTCTCACTGGCCCGCCCTCATCTTCACCTCGGGTGGAGGCAAGTGGGCCTGGCAGAACCCTCGTGCCGGAGCTTTGTGGTGTGTAAGAGGACCCGTATGCAGATCTGATGCCTGAGGGCAGGGTGTGCAGGGTGTGAGCAAAGGGTCGTCCCCTCTGCAGGGGGAGACCGGGAGGAGAGGGGTGCTGCGTGCCCTGCAGTGAGAGGTCAGCAGGTGGGTTCTAGAAGGGCTATGCACAGTCTCCCAGAAGGCCTCCAGCAGTGGTGAGGGTGGGGGCTTTGAGGAAGTGAATCATTTCATCTCGGCCCTTGGGCCTGGAAGGAAGGAGTACAGAGGCCTCCTGGGGATTACCAAGATGACAATCTTCCCGGTTGGTTTTTCTCAGCCCCTGTGTGCGCCTGCTGCCTGGTTCTCTGGAGCTGGCCATCCCCGTCCCGGACATGGGCCCACCTTCACCCGGCTCTCCGTGGCCTGGATGGGCTGCCAGTGTGGCTGACCCCTGGGAGTCTGTAAGACCTTAGTCAGGAAAGGAAAAAAAAAACAAAACGCCTATGGTCTAGGGCCTGAGAGCCGTGTGACCGAAATCTTGATTCAATTATTCTGTTCCTCAGCACAATTCCCTTTCTCGGCTCCCTGTGAGGGATGTATGTTCTCGGGAGCGCGTGCCTAAGTACTTAAGATCTGTAACTAGAAAAACGAGTTGGCCCAGCGGTGGGTTGGCCTGTGGTCTGCGTGTTCCGGGCAGTGCAGAGGCTGGGCCTGGGGCCTCCGTTTGGAGCTGTGGGGGTGCGTGGGGATGGTTCACGGCTTCAGAACCCCCTCACCTCTTTCCCCTGTTCTTGACACTCAGAGCAGATGTCAGAAGTGTTTAACTCAGCGGGTGCTGGGCTGTGTTATCGCAGGAGGCAGTGGGCCTACCATCTCTGTTGGTTTATGGGGTTGATGCTTCATCTTTTCTCCCCTTGTCACCTGGACTCGAAGCAGATGTGCCCAAACTGGGGCCCAGCTGTGTTTGATCACGGTGGAGGGGCGGGTTGTGTGACGCTCCCTCACAGGCTGAGGGATCCCAGCAGAGATTTTTGGAGAAATTAAAAAAAAAAAATCTGGTTTGATGTTTACCACCAAACAGACAGGTCCTGATTTTGGGCGGGGCGGGGGGGCAGTTTTACTGTTTGCAGAACACTGTACCAGCTTTCAGTCTCTGATCAGCGGCCCCTGTTTAGCCTCTCAAGCTGCTTTAAAAGGTCTCCAGGTGCATCTGGCTGGCTCAGTTGGTAGAGCCTGCAACTCTTGATCTTGGGGTCATGAGTTCAAGCCCCACGTTGGGTGTAGAGCCTACTTAAAATAAATAAATTAAAAAAAAATGTATTGAGTGGTCAGAATGCAGGTGTGTTGTTGGTCTTGACTGCTCTGTGCCATCAGATCATTCCTTGAGGACGGTGACCCATTTGGGATACTGACCTTTAAGAAGGACAGTGACAGATGGAGATGTGTCCAGGTGGGTGTAATCTGGATGGACAGGGGTCTGGATATCATAGCACCTGGAGAACACCTTGAGGCTCTAGGGTTGTTTTGATACAATGAAGAGAAGAATGAACGGGACTGGATCGTTGCCTTCAAATATTTGGGGGGCTGTCATGGAGGGGGAGAGGAACTGGACTTTTCTGTGTAGGCTTCAGGGCCAGCGTGCAGCAGGTGCAGAGGAGATTTCAGCTCAGTGTAAGAAAGAACGTGTAAATGTGAGAGTGGTCTGGGGCAAACGGGGGCTACCTTGGGAGGTAGTGAGTACCCCATCACTAGAGGCATGGAAGTGGAGCCTAGATGACCATGTGCTGGGGCTGCTGTACAAGAGTATCAAGAATTAGTTGTAGGATTGGATCATCTTTGAGATCAAGTCCTGATGCCCAGAAAGACCTGGGAAGTGATCTAGTCTGTGGTCTGGGGGCTAAGGGAGAATGATTTGATGATGATCCTGGAAGCTGACAGGATTGGGAAGAGTGGGAGGCAAGGTTGAGGGAAGGGCCATGAGGGAGAGAGCCATAGCGGGCCAAGGGGAAGAGGCCAAGAGGAATCCTCACTCCCATTTCTCAGATGAGGTGACTGAGGCTCTGTAGGGTGGTGTCGCTCACTCCATTCCACTTTGCAGTCACCTCCAGCTAGGACTTGCCTATTTCCTGGTGCTACTCTTCTGCCCAGGCCTCAGGGCGGGGAGGGTGGTGGTGGTGGTGGTGGTAATAGAGTCTAGTCACAAAGGGCTTGCCCTCTAGAGCTCACGGGCTGGCGGGCAAAACCGACAAGCCGAAGCCCCTCCAAAGGTGGTGCTGTGATGGGCAGCGACACCAGAGGGGGAGAGCCAGGCAGGGAGGGCCTGATTTTGACCAAAAGGATCCAGGAAGGCTCCTCCTAGGAAGTGGCCCTTTATCAAGGGAAAAATATTTTACATTGCTTCTGTTTTTAAATTTAAAATAATTAAAATCACATGAAATTGCACTTGCTACATTTCATGGTGCAAGTGCACTTGCTACATTTCATGGTGTCCAGTAGCCTCCTGATGTGCCTAGTGGCTACTGTATTGGGTAATGTGGCTTTAGTACGAGTGCTTGGCACATAATAGGTGCTCAGTAAGTGGACTGGATCAGTCATATGCCTGTAGAGGGTTCAAGATTAGTAAGCAGGGGGAGTGGATAATCTCCTCAACCCGGAAGGTTTCTGTTTGGTATTTTGGGCTTCCACAGAAAGCTCTATTTGAATAAAGAGTTCTGTAGCAAAAACAAACAAGTTAGAACAACTGTTCGACTAGTGGATTGCCAAGGGCCCTTTCAGTCTCGAAATTCTAGGACTCTCCCCGGGACGTTTGCCTCCAAGATTGGCTTTGGGGGTATGGCCACTATGTCCAAATCTCAGATGAGCTGTGTGTGGCCCAGGTGGCCGAGAAGGCCCTGGGGCCTCTGAGAGCAGAGCCGGGCCGGCTGCAGAAAGCTCCAGGGAGGCAGAGTACAACTCAGTGCAAGGAACAGCTTTCAAACTAACAGCCAGGCGGGGCCGATGGGAGCACTAGGTTGGAAAGGTAATGAACTCCCTGTCATCAGATATGTGAGCAGGGGCTAGACAAAGGAGAGGCAGGAGAGCCAAAGAAGGCCTTCTGGTTTGGACTCTGTGACTTTTGAGGCCTGTTCCAATCTGGGTAGCACGTGGTTCTCTGACTGCCTGTCTGAAAGTGGTTCTACTACTTGTTTTCCCCTCCTGCCGCCTGACTCAGAGGTGGCCATCCACATGGACTTGACTGGGCAGAGGCCACACCACATGGGTTTCTCTCCCTGGCCTGCTCCTTGGCACAGGGCATAGCACCCAGAGATGCTCAGGAGGCTTGTGGATGCTACTGAGGGTCAGGTGGCTGTGCTGCCCAGGCAGGGGACACAGCCTCCTCTCCTACTTGGGCCAGCCTGAGAGCTTGCACGGAGAAGTCTCTGGCATAGGCCTCAGGAATCCCACTGGGCTAGGGGGACAGGGCCTGAAGTAGTGCCCCCCCGCCAAGAAGGCCCGTAGGAGGTGGTGGCAGGGCCGGACTCGGCTGGCAGCCGGGCTGGGAAGAGTGGCCACGGATGAAAGGGCAGCCCCACCCCCTGTTTCTTCCTGGGCCTTTGATCTCTGATGGGGCCTCTGTCCACCATCTCTGGGGCCCCCATTCAGGTGTCCTCGACTTCCCCCTTCCCTTATCCCCCCGCCCGGAGTTTGGGCAGTAGAGGGCACATTGCAGGTGGAATTTCTGGCCTTCTGGACCCTGGACTGCTCTCTGCCTGAAGAGGGCACAGTAAAGGCATCTAAAACCCCTAGGTGGCCTGTCCTTTCCAAGAGCTGCCAAGTCCAGCAAGACCCTCAGGGAGAGGTTTGGGGGCATTTAGCGGGACCTGATATGACCAGGTCTACCCCTCTTTCTGGGGGTGCCTGTCTCCTCTATGTCTTTGTGTCCCTCCCCATGTCTTTCATTTGGGGGTGCATCTCATCCAGTGTTACCTGCCTCTGTTTATGTTAGTAGACTTTTTCTGTATCTACTTCTGTCTCTTGATCTAGCGCTCTCTCTTTCTCCCCCGCCCACACACTCTCTGTCACCCACTGTCTCTCTCTCTCTCACACACACACACACACACACACACAAACCCTCTCTCTCACACACACACATACACACAACCTTTTACATGCTCACACACATGTATACACCTCTCTCTCTCTCTTATTCCTCTCTCTTTCTCTCATACATACTCACTTTCTGTCTTCTTATATTTGCTCTTGCTCTCCCTGTTACCAACCCCCTGCTCCTCTCTCGCCTAGGTTGGAAGCCCCAGCTCAGCCCTGTTCTGCAGACCTCCATGAGAACCATTGCAGGGAGGGAAGGGCTTTCAGAAGCTCCCAGACCACACAGGGCCCACAAGGCCCTGTCTGCCGCCCAGGGCTTGGGATGGAAGGCTGGAGCAGAAGGTGCAGAGAACCCTCTCAGATTTCCCAGAAGGGAATGGGATGTGTGGAAAGGTCAGGATTCCTGAGTTATGAGTTACAGGCAGGCTTTGATTCCACAGATCTCTGATCTCTGGAGAGCCCCAAATAAGATGGTGAGGCATCTAGGCAAGGACAAGGCTCACAGGCCAGGGACAGAGTGATCTGAGGCCTTACTGTGGTGACATCTTCGGCAAGTTACTTAATCTCTCTGACCCTCTACTTTGTCATCTGGAAAGTATAGGTAGCACAAGCCTGGTGGGTTATTGTGAGGATAAAATGAAATCATACCCTTACAGGGTTTAGCCG